ACGGTAAAGGTAAAGGAAGAACGTAAAGAAGTAGTAGAGTACGTACTAGTCTCTACTACTCTCTCTACTACTACTACTACCTACCTACTACTCTCTCTCTCTCTCTCTCTCTCTCTCTCTCTCTCTCTCTCATGAAACCATTCATGGGATCCCTCCTCCTCATGCTCCCTTCACAAACCCCTTTGTCCTTTGTTTCCTTATTCACTTTGTTTTGGAGCTTCTTATCCTCATAAGCTCTCCTTTTCTTTCATTGTTCGAAAAGGAATCATACATATTTCCCCTCAATTGTCTTTGCAATTAGTTCTTCATGTTCCTCACTTTGCTACAAACTTATCATCTGTCGGTAGCATTATCAAAAATCTAAATTGTAGTGTAACATTCTTTCCTTCCCTTTGCGTTTTTCAGATTCTATTTACGAGGAAGAGGATTGGTAGTGGTCATGAAGCTCGTGGTCTCTATATTCTTGACTTGCCTACTACTACTCCTCAAGCTTCCGTCCAGCATTAATGTTAATAAATACTGGATTTGGCAGTGGCATCTCCGACTTGATCATCCAATCATCAAAGATTTATTTCCTAAGTTGTTTACTTCTACTAGTGTGGCAGAAGTTCAATGTGAAGTATGTGAACTGTCAAAACATTGCAAAAACTCTTTTTACCCAGTAATAATAAAAGCATTGCTCCTTTTGCTATTGTCCATTCTGATCATAGTTGTAGAAAACACCTAAGATTCCGAATCGTTTTGGGTTTCAGAATTGCATAATCGTTGTTAGCTAGAAGATTCTTGTTTTCGGATTCGACGTCCATACGAGAGGAATTGTGGGAAATGGGACTGCTACATTATAGGAATCGAGTTTCAACCCCAATAAAGGCAACATCCCTACATACATGGAATCAGGATTCCGATTGCTTGGAGTCAAGTTTCTAACCTATTTGGAATCAGCCCATACGGAAATGAGATTCCTTCATCTATGGCATCATGATTTTGACATCTTTGGAATCGAGTTTTTAATGTATTTTGGAATCAAGATTCATCACAATTTAGAATCCATATTCATATCAGTTTGGAATTGAGTTTCGATCCACATGGCTATAGAGATTTGTAACTCTATGTGTTCGAGTTTCAACCCCTTTATAATCAACATTCCTACATCAACGACATTTTGTACCTCAACAACTTAGAATCTCATCAAGCAATCTAGATCAGAGGTGTCTAAGACCTGAAGAAAGGTTCTATAGATATGAAGTCAATGTATTGAGTTATTAACTATTAAGCCTCATACACAGTATCAGAAGTAGGGCCAATTAATAGGCACTCGTACTCCACCAGGGAAATTGTCTATAAAGGAGACAAATATTATCTCATGTATTTTTTAAATGTGATTATGATTTCATTGTTATAGTTCAAAATAGGACTTCGTCCGTACCATGGTGTTGTCTGTGTTGTAGTCCTATTTGAATGTAAAATTCTTTACCAATTATACTTTAAAAAAAGGCAACCAATCCTAGCACTACGTGATCCAAGCCAATCCTAGGATTATTATAAACGTAATCAAAGCCAATCCTAGCACCATTAGTACTCTCATTAATACTCCAACGTCGTAGCTATACTGGCCTTTGTTATCTGCAAAAGACATTAGAATCATGCATGTTGCACACTTCTTAACTCTAGACAATTGCATTTGAAAGTTGAATCAAGTTACAAATACTTCAGCACCGCATTCATTGGATTATTATTTTGAACACCTATAAACCATGGGAAACAATGTTCTCCAATCGGATTTCCACATAACTGAAACCAGAATCCATAAATATTAGAGGTGAGATTCCGCACAATGAATCATAGTTTTGTGCACCTATGAACATCAGTACTTGATTTTGTGGAATCAGAATTACAAAAAAATTGGATCGAAATTCTATGAAGGTGGAAGCAAGATTCCATGTTGCTTGAATTCGCAGTTTCTTGCAACTATGAACCGAGGTACTTGATGATATGGATTCTAGATTCAAAAAAAAAAAAACAAATCGAGTTTCATTATATGTGGAATCCGGAATCTACAAAAGTTGGAATCAAGATTCCTAACTTCAAGGGAACAGATTTCTTGAAGATTACTTGTCGGAATCATCGAATTGGGATTCCGAAGCGGAATTGCAACCTGGGCTAAGAGATTCTGATAACTATGATTCTGATGTGTGGGGTCCATCTCTTAATACTTCTACTCTTGGTGTACATGCAAAAGATGAAGTTTCGAATATCTTCAAGGTCTTTCATAAGATGATCCATACTCGGTTTGATATTAAAATTAAGGTACTTATTAGTGATCAAGGTGGAGAGTACTACAATGGGAAGTTGTCGCCCTATAACATGGCATAGAACATTAAAATTCTTACGCATATACTGCACAACAAAATGGGAAAGCTGAAAGAAAGAAGAGACACCTCTTGGAAGCTAGTCATGGTCTTCTCTTGGATATGAATATACCCAGAATTACTGGTCAGAAGCTAGGCTTACTGCATCTTATCTCATCAATCAGAGATGGCTTCTCATGTTCTAAACGATAAATTCCCCTATAAACTTCTCGTACGGATCATCCACATTTTAGAGTTTCTCCTAAAGTCTTTGGTTGTGTTCACCTCTCTCATGTTATTAGTCCAAATTGTACATAATTGTACCCCAAATCCATGGAATCTATTTTTCTTGGTTATCCATCCTCTCAAAAGGGTTACAAATGCTATGATCCAGTGTCGAGGAAGAAATTTGTTTCAATGGATGTAACCTTTCAGTCCACTCCATTTTTCCCTGCCTCTCTACAATGGGAGCACAGCGTGGAAGAGAGGCTTCATGTTCCCCTTCATGTTCCCAACTTTCCTGATTGTGGAGCTCATGAGAACAGCGGGGGGGCAGTCTTATGATGTTGAAGTTGGAAAAAAAGAATTAAAAGTCTATACTCGATGGAAACAAAAAGAATTGGAGACCACCACAGTTGACATGACTTCAAGCCAGTTACATAACTCTGATCCAGGTAATCCTAATCAATTTCATCAGTATAGAATAGGATCTAACCATTGTTGTACGAAAAGGTAAACGGGAGTTGCACTGCTCACCCAATTAGCAAATTTATTCCTTATGAGTCCTTGTCTCCTTCGTACCTTGCTTTTGTGTCCTCTTGTCTTCTGTTTCTATTCCTTCTAGTGTTACAAAGGCTTTAGCTCATCCTACATGGAAGGAGGTTTCACCCCAAAAAGAAAAAAAGTGGAAGGAGGCTATGTGTGAGGAGATAAGAGCACTATATAAGAATGGTGGTTGGGGACTGGTAGACCCTCTCAAAGGGAAGTAGTTGGTTGGCTTCAAATGGATCTACCATATGAAGTCCAGGTTGATGGTACTATTACGGTTACAAGATGAGATTAGTTCCCAAGGGGTTTACTCAAACCTATGAATAGACTACAGGGAAAATTTTGCCCATTTGGCAAAGATGAGTTCTGTTTGGGTACTTTTGTGGCCGAAAGCTAACTTGGAGTGGCCCTTGTCTTAGTTGGATATCAAGAATGCATTTCTTCATAGGAAATAACATGAAGTAGCGTACATAGTACCTCCACCTGAATTTCGCGCTCTTGGATGTGAAAGGAAAACTTTGAAGACTGAGAAAGGCCATCTATGGACTAAAGCAGTCTCCTCGAGCTTGGTTTGAGTGGTGTTGTTCGAAGAATCGGGTGTACTCGAAGTCATGCTATTCATCAAAAATACGAAGACCAACACTAGTATCATGATAATATATATGGATGACACTGTTGTTATAGGTAATTGTCCAAAGGAAATTCAGCAACTTAGGAGCGAGAGAATTAGAAATCAAAGAACTAGGCCATCTTAAGTTCTTTCTTGGAATAGATGTGGCCAAGACAAAAAGATAAATCTTCATCTCTCAAAGGAAGTATATACTGGATATCCTTAAAGAAACAAGAAAGCTTGAAGGCTAAACCAATTGATACACTAACATAACAAAATCACAAGCTTGATGACCAAAGGGGTGAAGCTATTAAGGATGTGAGTATGTTTCAAAAATTAGTGAGTACGTTCAAACATTGCATATGCTGTGAGCATGATTAGTCAGTTTAAACATTCTTCACGAACCATCCATCTCGAGGCTACTGCCAGAGTTCTCAGGTATCTAAAATCATCACCAAGGAGAGGACTATTGTTCGCTAATCATGTGCACACTATGTATTGATGCCTATACAAATGCAAACTAGGCTGGTTGTTTCATAGTTGTTGGAAACGCATGTGATCCCGAATTATTTCAGGAATCGAAAATGTGAAATTGTGCGATTCCTATACTCGAAATCGTTGTCCATGCAATGTAAATCACATGTTGCATGATTCCCACTATATCGGAATCGCGGGGAATCTTGTGTCGTAACTTGTTGGGATCGGTATCCCATCGATTTGGAATCGAGTTTCCTACCTGTCTGGAATTGTACATCAAACCACTCCAATCAATGCCATCCAGAGTCACGACCTGATAAAATTGGAATCGTGATTCCTATATTGTTGGAATCATTGTCCCATCAATTTGGAATCGAGATTCCTACCTTTCAAGAATCACGCACCAATCCACTCGAGACCATGCAAGGAGTTTTGCGTGAGAAAAGAGTTAAAGTTTTACACTATTTATGAGCTTTGAACTTTGGACTCCACATATTGCATATGATTACCTAGGGCTCCCATATTATTCAAATCGATGTCTTTGACAGCCCTCCCTTAACAATAATCTCAGTGTATTGAGTGCCCTTTAATGTAGCCCTCTACAACTAATAAAAACAAGGTCGAGCTCCCTTAGGTATTTACTTAGAGATTTTAGAACCCCAAGAAAGCAATGTGTCAAATGTGTTTCTCATGCTTATTTTGAGGAGGAAATGAGGAACTGCATCTTCTAACTAGAAAAGTGTCTTTTAAATGTGAACCTTAAGCTCTTAAAGCACCATTCACTTTGATGCTTTATTGAATAAGCTTTCAACATCGGGGTCTATCGAAAGTGAGGAACCAAACCAATATGTTTTATGTGTTTTTCATGCATATTTTGATGATGAAAGAAAGATATCCATCTTCTCACTAGAAAACGAGTTCTATGATGTAGACCTCGAGCTCCTAGAGAGCCATGTGCTTCGACACTTTATTGAAGAAACCTTTCAACATCAGGGTCTATCAAAATTGAGAAACAATTTCTAATTTCCTGAGGACGAGGATGAACTGGCTAAGTACTAAAAATTGATACCCACAAGGCTCAAGTTGGAAGTTGAAGATTATGGTTGACACTTACCTGCATAAGCCATTACTATCATACTTTCTGATTATCCACAAATCTAGAAATTTGCATTTAAATCTTGATTTTGTTTTATTAGAACTTCGACTCCATGTTGATCGAAACACTCCATGTTGATCAAAACATTGTTTGGTGCATCCATGAACCCTAGGTTTTGTTTGCGGATCTAGCTTCCAAAAAACATTGATTCGCTAGTCCTAAAAATTAGGATCAAGGTCTCATATACGTTGAATCCCCATCTTGTGCCCCTATGAATCGCAAATTTTGTGAGAAGGAGTCCAAATTCCCAACTTCCAAGAATTGGGATGCAAAACTATATTTGGAATGAGATTCGAGAAATTTGGAATCATGATTCCTATCTTCAAAGAATCGTGATTCATCTTGGGAAATGTGTAATCGCGATTCAAACCGGAATCGTAACCTCGGTACATGATTGGGGTAACCATAAGTTGTATTATGGGTTGAAGATTGACGGGTACTGTACTTTTGTTGGAGGGAACCTTGTAACTTAGGGTAAAAAGTAGTCAATTGCAGCAAGATCAAGTGCAGAAACCAAGTATAGATCCTTTGATTCTTTCATAAGCTTCCGACAATCTCTTTCATGTGTCCAGGCTTGCCACAATAGTAGCAATTTATTTCCTTCCTTCATTTGGACCTATCTTTTGATCATTCATGATTATGAGGTGTCCCGCCTGTAATTTTACCTCTATGTTATGTGACACGAGCCTGTTAGTGAGATGAATCCAAGGATTTTCTTCTTTTCAATAAACTACTTGTAACTTGACTTATCATTACTTTCCAATTTGGAGCGGAGTTACTAAGAGACACCGTTGAAGTCTCCTAACTACCAAGAAATGAACTGAGGAGTAAGAAGGCCTCTAACTATCATTCAACACCATCTTCACAAATCCATAACTCCTCGCTCTGATTACAGAGTTACTATTGTTGATCCATTTTATACAATGTTTTCTAGGCTCTATAATGCTAAAACCTGCTTCACAGGTTTTTCCCAACTAGTGTGGCCAAAACATGCCTCCGAAGCCAGGCAATTGTTTCCCGTAATTTGTTGTGCCCCTGCACCTACATCAATTGGATTAGGGAAGATGTCCATCACTATCAGCCAAAAGGTGAAAACTTCTATCTAACAGCAAGTAATACAAAGTTACATAAGCTACACCTATACAAAAGATTCTAACCACTATAAGGCGACCAATATCGCTTAGTAAAAATTTCGCATTATTTATTCTTGTTGACATTTCAATACAAGAAGAAACTTTCAGGGGTATGAATTATCATAAGGTGCAGGAAATGGAAAACATAGAAGATTTGCTCAAATTTACATGGTAACAAAGTTAAAGGAGTCCTGCCCTTTGAAAGCCAATGAGATTCATCAGAAGCACAAAGATGACAAAGGTAAAGTGAAGAAGCCCCACTGTTATCGATGAGAAAAATGTGATACTTAAGCCAAGAATTTAAGTCACAGATTAGATGAGAAGATCATCACTCGAAATTTTCCATGACAAAGACGAATTACAAATCCTTCTTCAGAGTTCTTTATAAATTCCTCATGAGTGATGAGTTCATGCTCAATGTTGTTGTTCATATCCTGGAGGACAGCATAGTTCTTCAACAGCATGTAGATCCCTCATGTGCTAGTCTATACCCCCAGGAAGTCGCAATTTAGGACAATAATATTCACGAATTTGCATTACTAGTGTGTCATTGGTAATCTAGAAGCTTCTACAGTATAATATATTTGTACTAAAAGAAACACAGTCGAAGATAATTTGGGCAATGACACCGACATATGAGTAGGGAACATCCTGTAGTTACACCAGTTCCACTAAAAGTCCTTAAACTTTATCAAAATGTGAAATAGGTATCAGTTCACGGTTGGATTAGGCACCTGCTCATCATATAATAAATCAAAATATTTGTTTTCTATTTATTAGCATATTTGTTCTCTATTTATTATAGAGATCATTGGATATTTAAGAATAAGAATAGCAACAGGATATCAGTTCGTCTAAGCTTAGCAACAAGAAAAAAAAAACTCATAATAAACTCTCTTGATGCTATAAGTGAAACAGAGTCATAGAGATCAATTGAATATCCATGTTTATGCCATTTGAGAGGAATGAATATTAGTGCTGAACTACGATATGATCAATATTTGAGAGGTAAAAAACTATAGCTTGACGACTGAGAGAGAGAGAAGTATTCTAACCAATGTGATTTTGGTGACAACTTACTGGAAATTAAGTTTCGTTTGTCTCTATTGTCATATATGATGGCTGCATCAAAACCACCATCTTGTGCATTCCGAACCTTCTCTTCAAAAGTGCAAGTCCCTCTTGCTATCAACACAAACCTCATATCCATATGTTCTCCCATGTTTGGTGCACTTTGAAGGATAGAGCACGAATCAAAGGGCTCTGCTACATGTAGAGTCCCACAAATTCCAGACCCATTGATTGCCACCGCTGAGAATTAACGAGAACAGAAAAAATAGGCCATGCAATATAAGAAAATAATTCATATATGGGGTATACATGTGGAGGCCTCTCAACTTCAAGTAATTTCATCAAATTTGATCAACAAAAGAAGAGAAAAATGAAATAAACCAAACAAAACATATTGACAAGGGCCATTTTTAGACTCCCACCCATTACATAGAAGATAGTCAACGATAGACACACAGTAAGCAACCGACGAATCTCCCTATCCATGGAGATTGGCAGATGCTATGAATGAGATAATGGAGATTGCGTCACAGTAAGCAACCGATCGCCCCCACAACTCTAACAAAACTATACAGAGGCAGACTCATTAGGTTGCGAACATTGGGGATGCAATTCAATCTTGATCACACACAGGCATCAGATCGAGGACATAGGACCCCAATCCTTACCCTACCCTCTCCTTCACCTTTCCCCTTACTCTCTCACTATTCCCTTATCCTCTCTAGCCCGTCATTAATCTACTTATCCTAAGCACTTAAGGTTTCCCAATGGCAATTAGATGTCATCCATAACAAAAGAAAGGTAATTCTTATAGTTTGGACGATGATGTGATTAATGAGAATAGGCTTGGCATGGTAACAGGGCAGACATTTCAAATAGCACAAAAGGCTCAACAAAAGCTACTATAGAGTCGTCACTTCCACTTGGTCATATAGGACGCGAAAAAGGAAATAATAAGAGGTCACTTCACTTCCACTTGGTCATTTCAAGGAGACAACATATAAGAATCTCTTAAAGAAAACAAAACAAATGAGAATCTTGTCGAGCAAACTTGTTGATACAGAATGTGTGCCAGCTATCAAAGATTTGAATACTCCGACAACTTGTCCAGTAAGGGGTCTGGAAAACAAATCCGCTAGATTTAACATACAACTGTTTTCACAATGGAAGAGTATAAACTACTCTTCCATTGTGATTCGATTTTGGGTTAGGACCTCTTTTCCATAACAAATGAAAGGTAATTCTTATAGTTTGGAGGATGATGTGATGAATGAGAATAGGCTTGGCATGGTAACCGGCAGACATTTCAAATAGCACAAAAGACTCAACGAAAGCTACTATGGAGTCTTCACTTCCACTTGGTCATATAGTACACGAAAAAGGAAATAAATAAGAGGTCACTTCACTTCCACTTGGTCACTTCAAGGAGACAACATATAAGGGTCTCTTAAAGAAAACAAAACAACTGCAAATCTTGTCGAGCAAACTTGTTGGTACAGAAAGTGTGCCAGCTATCAAATATTTGAATACTCTGACAACTTGTCCAGTAAGGGGTCTGGAAAACAAATCCGCTGGATTTAACATACAACTCTTTTCACTAGCAGTTTGTGCAGACTTTACGAATGATAACAGCGCAAATGATCATTGTTTGAATGCCTCTTGTAGGACTTGACAAAGCAAAGGCTCTTCAGTAAAGATTGGCCACATTTTATGCCACCAGAACTTGTCGTACCCCTTTCCAACAGGGGATGATTACCTTAATGTAAACGATGGCTAATGAAAGAGTAGCGATATCAGAAAAACTTTAGGAGCTTTTGAGGAAATCTTAAACTGTAACATCAACTAATAGCATCCCGTACTTTGAAGTCCTAAGTGGTGAACCAAGGGCAAGTTAGGGTGGTGAACCACCAATTGATTGAGGGACAATTCTTAGGAATTTGAATTCAGCCAACCCATAAATATTTCTCTGATAAGATTTCTAATATCCTGCAAGCAATTAAAAAAAGGAACAGACATCCCCACTCTCTGAGAATGGGAGATTTGCTAAAATCTCCTCAAGGACTTCCTAGCTTCTGTGTAATCCAGAAGTGCCATCACCCTAAAGAAAGGTACGGTTCCAGGTTCCTTACTTTCACTAATCAAATCAAAGTGTTCAGCAAATCCGTGCCAGTGTTATGGTTATTTTCAAGAACTAGAGACCATTGTAATAAGTTTATGTTAGCATATCCTATGCATGAAAGAATCGCTATTGCAAGTAAATTTACAGGTTCTTTTGGTAATAAGATTGCATATTGGGTATCTCATCATCATCATCATCACATCATCATCATTAGAGACTTTTCCCAACTACTTGGGGTCCGCTACCATATTGGGTACCACAAGACACAATTATACAAACAAAACTTTTATTTTACAAAAAAAAAAATAAACATGAACGTAATTAGATAAAAAACCGAACCCATCTATACAGTCAATATAGTGTAATTCTAAGAAAAATCAAATTCACAAGCGAGGAAAACAAAGACTCCATTGAACAAATTGAAATCGAAAAACAAAATGAAATTTTAACCAATTAGAAGAAAATGAAATTCCAAACAAAAACAACATAACAAAATCCAACAAAGAAAAAAATATGCCCAGTGAAAACTTTCTCGACCCTAACTTTCTCGACCCTTGGCGACCTAAATATCAAAAGCGTTTATGTTTCCTTGAGCATTGGATATATATAAAGTTTAAAAACACAACTAGGGGTGTGAGGGTCTCTGTACTGAACAATAGCATAATCCAGAAGCAATTTAGACCAACTATCATCCAAAACCATTAAATTACTACAAACTGAAAACATAGGTCTAACACGGTCCAATTCACAGAGGTAAATGAGCTTAGAAACTTACTGAATCTCGCCTCGACATCTTCGAATGAGAGAGAAACACTTTGACCCTTGAAATAGAGGATTGCAGAAGACGAGCGAAGAAATGCCAGGAAAAATAGAAAGGAGAAGAAGAAAGAGAATATCGATTTGGCACGATACGAAGAACTGCAGCTCTCCACCATTTGTGCCGAGAAAGAGAGGAAAGGGTTGGGGTTTCATATTTGCAGACACCTCCCCATGGTAGTAATTGCAAGAGAAAGAGAAGGCAATGAAAGCGCAGTAAGAGAGGGCTATGGCTTCATGTCGATGTGCGTGTTTTTATGCGGCCAAGCCCGCATATGTAGAAATGCGGGCCTCTTAATAAATCTATATATGTGATGGATTTTAATATTTAATTTTTAAAGACATGTAATCTAATATGGATATCATGAATATGAAAAAATAAATAAATTTTAAAAACTGAAAATAATAATTCTAATAAGAAAACATTTTACAATTTCTAGACCGCATATATAGAAATGCGGTCTAGCCCCCATGAAACAATTTTCCTTACTTTATTACCTACTCTTATTAGTTTACTAAGTTGAATTTGAAGATAACGAGTTATTAACTTCGATTTGATGATAATTCCATTTTTGAGTTCTCCACACCATTTTCAACCGAGGTTTAATGATCGGTAACTCGAATTGGCCTCCCCAAAATTTGTGTCAGATCAGAAAATTTGATGATTAATTTTATTAGCATTACATTATTAGCACAAAACCATGAAATGAGCAATGAAACATGAATGCAGAAAACTATGAAACTTAATAAAAGCATTACATTATTAGCATTTACGGTCAAATAATAAAAGGGAATTTAATGAAATGCCACAATATCCATAAAAATTCAAAGAATAATATTTCATATTTGATATTTATAACCAATACATCTAGTTCAGAAAAATAGGAAAATTTCATCCAAAATCGAGCAAAATAGGTGCTTAATCATAAAAAATATGACTACAATCCTTTGAATAACACTTTAAAGTTCAAAACCCCTCTGAGTTTGATCACAAAAACCACTTATTTCTCCTAAAATTAATCAAATAGCGGATTTTATATGAAAATTAGGGTTCAATGTGGATCATTTACGATTCCTTCATAAATTGATGAACAAAAATTTGTTAAATATAAAAAATAACTTATACAAGCAAAAATCGACTTCTTCAAAAATCGAGCTCGATTTTTTCGAACTCAAAGACAATGTGGATCGAACTTAGAGACATTGCCCGAGCTCGATTTCTTCAAAAAATTGAGCAAAAAAAGAGTTGAATAAAAAAAAAAGTACTTCTAAAATCCTCTAAATCACATATTGAACTTTAAAAACCCTCTGATTTTGATCAAAATAACTCACTAAATCGGCTCTAAAACATGAAAAGACGGATTTTAATTGAAAATTAGGTTTCTTCGTGATACAGTCATGATTTCTTTATAAATTGATGAACAAATAAATATTTGTTAATAACAAAATTAAATTATACAATCACCTGATGAATATCAAGATCTTCAAAAAGCCTCATAAATCACGTATTTTAGTGCCCAATTTCAGCATAAATCTTAAGTTTGGTGGATCGAACTCAGAGATATTGCCCAAGCTCGATTTCTTCAAAAGTCAAGCAAAAGAAGAGTTGATCAAAAAAAAAACACTTCTACAATCCTCTGAATCACACATTGAACTTTAAAAACCCTCTGATTTTGATCAAAATAACTCACTAAATCGGCTCTAAATCATGAAAAGGCGGATTTTAATTGAAAATTAGGGTTTTTCGTGATACAACCACGATTTCTTCATAAATTGATGAACAAATACTTGTTTATAGCAAAACTAAATTATACAATCACCCAATGAACATTAAGAGTTTCAAAAAGCCTCAGAAATCATGCATTTTGGTGCCCAATTTTAGCATAAATCTTAACTTTGGCGGATCGAACTCAGAGACGTCACCCGAACTTGATTTCTTCAAAAATTGAGCAAAAGAAGAGTTGAATCAGAAAAAATACTTTACAATCCTCAAAATCACATATTAAACTTTAAAAGCCTTCTAATTTTATGTAAAATAACTCACTAAATCGGCTCTAAATCATGAAAAGGCAGAAATTTGAGAACTCCACATGTTTTTTGCAAAACCGTGATCCAATCCACCATATTACAACATTTTAATGAATTATTGTGAGCAATAATGCTCTGTGAAGCCTGTCATGCTTCAATAATGCATCAAAAAATAAAAATCACATGATATTTTCACTGTTCATGCATGGAATCGGTGAGACTCCCCCCAAAATCAGTCAGACTTTGCGTTTTTTTATAGGAATCGAGTGAATCCCCTTTTTTCATAGGATCCGGATCGTACTTGTCAATTCCCAATCCTGATAGTCTGGTTTTGGATCGGATCAACGTTTTTCTAATCTCTGATACAAACTTTGCAAAGCAATTATGTTTTCAAAATTTAGCCATTGAATTACCGAAAAAAAAAATTTATGTTTGTGAAATTAGAACACATCACTACCTTAATGATGTGTTGCGCACATAAAGCATGAAGTGGGAGAATTGTCCCACATCGACCAGTTTAAGGAGAATTAAGTTTTATAACATGAAGCTTTAATTGCTCTTGGGTGAGTGGAGTGCAAGATCAACGTGCAGTTGCGGTCAATTAATGTTTGTAGGGCTCGTGTATTAAAAAAAAATTAGACATCTCAAATTAAAAAATGTGTTTCAAAAATATCTCAAATAAAAAATGTGTTATAAAAATTAAAAGAAAAATGTGTCATTTCAGAACCGATACGGGCCAGTACGAAGTTCGAACCAACCGATTCAGGGATGAACCATCCGGATCCTGATATATTACGGGATTTGGACAATTTTTTATCCAAATCGAATCGCCAAATTTTAAAAAGTTGGTTTCTTTCAAATATAATGAACTTTATTCATAATATACTTTCTATGTGGCACGCAATGGATAAAAGAACTATGTTATTGTTGTTATTACTAATGTAAATTTAGGGAAATTTGTTAAACTATCTGCTAGAGACAAATTATTTAATATTTTATTCTTTTACAAGTCTTCTATGTCATGTTCAAGTGTTTTTTTATGGAGCAATGATCCAATGCAATGG